TCCCCTCAGCACAAGCCCCTTCCCCATATTTTTCCACCCCCCTCTCCACAGCCCAGCCCAGTCCAGCCCAGCCCTTTCCCCTCCCCAGGGGCCAACTGTAGGTTTTTTGCTGCCCCAAGCAAAACATTTTTTGCCCCCTCCCCTTTGTTGTTGTCTCTTACACATGTTTGCATTTTGCAGTGGTTTTTGTTTGTTTTCATTTTTGTCCCAGCATTTTAGCCCTATAAATAGCAAATAGCATTTTCATTCATTTTTTTCCATAAAGGCAAAGGCGCTTCAAGTGAACTCCCCCTTTCACTCACTGCTGGGTCACAGTAGCCTTTTCCCTGCCCTGTCCAGCCCCTCCCTATGGACAAGCACCCCTCGCTCCCAACCCACTGGGGAAACAGGGTGCAGGGACAGCACAGACGGGTGCAGGGAACAGTGGGGAAGGAAGGGTGGGACAGGGGTGGCGCAGGGAAGAGGAGGCACAGAGGCAGAGGGATGCAGGGATCGGGTGGAACAGTGTGCAGGGTGTGGTGGAGGCACGGGGAATGGGACGTGGGGAATGGGAGGGGCAGAGGGGTCTAGTGGAAGTGCAGGGAACGGGCAGCACAGAGCTGGGGGGAGCAGGGATCAAGGGCAGCGCAGAGCCAGAAGGAGAGCAGGGGATCCGGGGTGCAGGGGCGGCATAGTGAATGGGCAGTGGGAGCCAGATGGGGCGCAGGGCGGGCACAGAGAGGGTCTCTCGCCGGCGAGGGGCTGGGGTTGTGGCAGGACTGGAGCCAGTGGGGCAAGGACACGTAGCCAGAGCCGAGCTGCCGCGGTCCTTTACCATAGGCGGGGACACCTCACGCCACCGTCCTGGTGTTTGCTGACGCCCCGCCTCCTCACCCCGCAGCGCTCTGCTCATCTGCCACCCATCGGGCCAGTCCACCCCTGCACTCGCCAGCTGGCAAAATCTACTCGGCAAAGGCGAGTGCATTTTGGGGGCGGGAGGGTGTGTGTGTATATGTGCGCGCGCGTGCGTGCGTGTCCTTTGAAAGGATAAGCCTATTTTTAATTTTCCCTTTTTTTGGTTAAAAAAACCCCCAACATTTGACGATTCAGGTGATTGTTTTTACCTCACCCTCCCTCTTTTGTACTTAATTCTCTTAATTCTTGAACAATGGCTAATATTTTCCCCATGTGCATTTTTTTCATTTTTACTTATGCCAAAGACAAAGAAAAATCATTCATAGTCTTGCTCTCTATGGAAAAAAGGAGAAAGGGAGGGGAGAAATAAATTTCAAAGAATTTTTTTTAAAATGTGATCAAAATGGAAAGTTACATTTCAAACCCTGCAACACAAACAAGTTTCCAAAATTTCCCATTCAATTCTTCTTCCATTTTTCTAGTCATGAATGTCCTGGGCTCAAGATGCGGCCTTTGACTAGACAGAAAACTTACATCTGGCAATAGCCACCTGGGCAGCCTTGACAGTTGGCAATTCACAGATTTTAAGACTAGAAAAAAAACAGTATGTTAATCTAGCCTGACTTCCTGCAGAACACAGGCCAAAGGATTTCACCTAGTCATTCCTGCATCAAACTCAACTTCTTGCTGAGTTAGAGTGTATCTTTTAAAAGGACAACCAATCCTGATTTAAAGATTTAAAGTGATAAATCTATCACATTCCTAGGCTTGTAATGTCAGGCTTGCCTAGTAATTAACCTTCCACCTTAACACATTCAGTTTTCTGAACCACTAGACTTCAGAAAGAGAAGGCGACTTTTCAGCTTTAAAATGTTTCACTTGCAGCTGAAAGCTCACTTGAGCTTGATGTGGGATTTTGGAAGCACAATCCAAATCTTTCCCTGGGAACAGGCAGAAGAATCTAGGAGTCTGACAAACTCTGGGAGGTACTGGTGTCCCACAGCAGAGGGAAAGGAGAAGCAGTCATGGCTGTTGTTAAGGGAAAAGGGGGACCTTAAGATGACAGTCTTCATCATTTCCTGCCTCTCAAACTACCAGTGAGTTGTGGTGCTGCTAGATGGGGAGTCAGAGAAAGGCTCGGCAATCCCTAAGAAGATTGTCTTCTTTGGAGAAGTCTTTCTGGGCGGAGGAGGAGACCTACGTTACACTAACGGTATCACAGATGTGGGAGGACCACAAAGCAAGTGATGTTAAAAAGCAGTCATTCATGTAAACGTGTAACCACTAAAAATTTCAGTGGTTTCATGTTTATAAGCAGGGGGAAGTGGCTCCCCAGAACTGATGTGTGCAGGAAGCCAGCACCCACAGGGAGCCTGCTTAAAAGCCAGTTCCCTGTGAGCATCAGCTCCTGCCTGCCCCCTGTTGCTGCCTTTGATCCAGAAGCAGCCGCACAGAGGGAGGGGAGGCAGCTCCGCAGAAGCCGGTATGCATGGGGAGCTGGCTTAAAAAGCTGGCTCCCTGCAAGCACTGGCTCCCACCAGCCCGCTCCCCCACCCCCTTCACCATTGCCTGAGATATGGAAACTACTCTGATCAACATGGTTCTCTGGCCAGTGTGCAGGCTCAAGGCTCCTGCAATGGCACTCTGGAGATATCACAGCACAGGACATACAGAAACAGCAAATTTACTTTCTGTATGAGAAACACTGTAAAGAAGTGTCTGACATGTATACTGATTCCCAGAACTCCCTTTTCTCCCAAGACTGACTGGCAGCATTAAGCAGCTACAAGTTACTGTGATGCCAATTTTGTTCATCTCAAGACGCTCATTTCCATCAGTCCACAAGATAAAGCAAAGGCACTGGACAGCACCATTCCAAGAAGAATCTAACTTTATAGGTGATAAAGAATTCCTGAAAGCAACATTGATATGACACGACCAATTGATTATGACATACATCCTTTTCCATTCCAAACCATTTTCTTCTCTCCAAAAGATAAGGTATTCACACATCATAAAGCTATCTTATACCCTCCCCTAGGGTGCACCTGGTGCCATCTTTTAGAAAAGACACAAATTCTGAAGTCCTCATCTGTCATGGTCATTCAATATTTCATGGAACTTTCTGCAAAAGTTAAGGTACTAACCCCTCTGTCCTGGCAAGATTCCAATCACAATTATATTCTTCCTCTCTAAAATACCCTACAAGTTCTAACTGCCTATGGTATCCTTCATTTCCTGTCCTAAGCAATTCTGTAATGGTTTCATGCACTTTAACACATGCTGTGCTCTCTCTCAGAAGTGATGGTATAGAAGCAGAAGAGCAAAACACCCCCTATCTGTAATAACTTACATCATTTCATAAGTGCATAAAAAGCTTTAGGAGCCTTCAAGGTTTATATAGCACCTATTACACCACAAAATTCACACCCTTCCCAATGCATAACAGGCTAAGAGGGGTGATCTTAATCACTTCAAATTCAACCTCATTTGTTTTCCAGCACATGTGTTCGAGGACTAACTGAACTGGAGTTAGAGGAGCCCATCAGGATTTCAATGATCAGCTGACAAAACAGCTAAAGTAAAATGCAGATAGCCTAGAGCTTTGGGCAGTTTGCTCACCAGATTTTGTTTCCAGCTTCCCAAAAATGTCAACTGTGGCCCAAGACTCAGCAAGAGAAGTTTCACCCAAAAGGATTTCTTTCGAACAGAAAGTTACAAAAGGAGTCCACCATAAAGTTGAGAATCAGAAGTGGGCCAAAGCTTCACAATTGGATTCTGGATCAGATCATCTCCACAGTTCAGTTGTGTTCAGCTCGAGGGTGCAAAGGGAAGCCAGCTATGCTCAAACACCTTAACTATGAATCTGTAGAACTCCAAAGCCACAAAGGCACCTTCAGTGAGATTCAGGGGAGTGGGCTATGGCATCCAGTCTCCCTTCTCTCAGGTTCCAGCTACTCATGAGCAAGCAAGAGACTTTTCTGTTCATAATCAGTACAGGGCAGGTCAATCGGGCCATATCCCTATGCATGAAAGTTTCAAGCCTGGGGTTTACCTGATCACCAGGAAACACCCCTTCCTTCCCAGCACAAAGACCACCCTCATCCAACCTCACTCATCAGACTTACCTTCCCAAACTGCTCAAAATACTGCTTCACATCCTCCACCGTCGTGTTCACAGAGAGACCCCCCACAAATATCTTCTTCGTCCGCGTTACCATCTGGGAAAGGGGAGGACAGCGTTAGCAGGAAACAAGGTCTGTCTCCAAAACCTCCCCTGCTGGAAGCTGAAGAACATGCTGTACGATGATGTATTGCACAGGGAAACTGTCCTGAGGCAGAGAGTCCCCTAATGAAACACTGTATCTAATGGAGGACATGTCTCAAGCCCCAGAAACTTTGTACTTGTGTTGGAGTTTCACAGTATGATCTCAACCCAGGCCAAACATGCCCAATAATGCTGTCTCCTATCCCTTTCCTCTCTAACCTCACCAACTACCCAGGGGACTTGCCAGGCACTGTCACTCTCTCCCTGCTAGCCCCCTGGGGACAGATTTTGCATGTTAAAACCCCTCCCCTGCTAATCACTTTCACAAACCTCCTAGCAGACACACAGAGTGATGCCATCACCTTCCCAACTCTCCTGTCACTCACACAGGGTACTGCTGTCACCCTGCCAATCCCCAACTCACCCTCCCTCCCCAGAGTTTCCTTGAAACTCGGAAGCAAAGTATGGCAAAGCAAGGTGAGGGGGTGATCTCCATGGCCCACAGGGTCAGCAAATGGTGCAGTGTAAACTCCTAAGCTACGTCTAGACTGGCATGATTTTCCAGAAAAGTTTTCCGTTAAAAGCATTTTCAGAACAGAGCGTCTAGATTGGCATGGACACTTTTCTGCAAAAGCACTTTTTGCGGAAAAGCGTCTGGCCAATCTAGACGCGCTATTGCGCAAAAAAAATCTCAGCTGTCTACACTGGCCCTTTTGCTCTGAATGGGAGCAGCATAGTATTTCCGCAAAAAGCACTCATTTCTTACAGTAAGAAGTCAGTGTTCCTGCGGAAATTCAAGCGGCCAGTGTAGACAGCTGGCAAGTTTTTCCAGAAAAGTGGCTGATTTTCTGGAAAAATTGGCCAGTCTAGACACAGCCCAGGATGGGTCAGCAATCCTTCCCGGTTCTCTGTCCCTAGCAAGGCTGCATCTGGGATCAGTAGCAAGATGAAAGACAGTATAGAGACTGCCTCATGGCGTTTTATATCCATTTCTGGTACCTTCCAAGCTGAAGAGGGTAACATGATCAAGTGATCTGTCTCTGTTCCACATGCCAGCAGCCATTATGCCCTGGCTGGTTGCAGGTTTCCAGATGCATTCCTCAGGTGTGTATTGGCCTCTCTGAGGGTATGTCTACACTACCCCGCTAGTGCGAACTGGCCAGTCTAGACACAGCCCTACAAGTTTTGCTCCTCTCCCATTCTCAAGCCATCAGACTTAAGGAGCCAGGACAAACTCCCAGTTAAGCCTTCCTGTCCCCTTTCTCATCCCTCAGCCACAGAAGCCAGCGGAGGAATAACCAAGGGGGGCGATGGCTGCTAGGATGAGGCACACTGCAGTTCTTTGAACTGATGCTCCAGCTGCATCCTCCACTCAGCCCCTTGGCCACACCCCTGCTCTAGCAGGAACACATGGTCTTAATTACCCCAAGGAGCAGAGAGCTAATCCGCAGCAATTCCATGGCTTGGAGAGCAGCCTGTTCTAACACTAAAGCACCTTCTGTCACCAAACTGCTTAATGGAATTAACCCAATTCCTACCATGTGCTTCTTGGCTCCAGTTATTCAGGATACCTGCTCACTAATTGTTCTCAGCTCCTGATCTCCTGTGCTTTCCCCCCTCCCCCCATCATTCTCTTCCTCCACTCTGCAGTTCTCTCCCCTCCTGCTCTTCCTCACCAGCCCTTTTTCCCACTGCAGTACTTGGGGGTGACTGTAGGCTCTTGTTCCTCAGCCCATTTAAGCCAGATCTCCAAATTGCCATTCCACTTGGAAGGCCAGGGGCCAGTTTGCTCTTCACTCCACACTTACACGTTTCCCACTGGAGCATCTGGGAGAACGCCAACAGCTGCTCACTTCCACTGAGCACCCACCCTCCTGGTGCAGGTGAGGCCCAACATCCTTCTCTCTCTCTCGCCTTTCCAGGGCTGACGCCTAGCCATTCACCCACACTTCTCCCCAGGTCATCCTACACGTCTTCTGCCACAGACTGAAACAGCTTGCGGGTCCTAAGGTTCCAAATGCAGGCTACCAAAGAGCAGAAGGTGCCATGTTCTTGAGCAGAGTTCTGCATTTCATCAGCTCCTTCCATAAAGCTCTAGCCTCAGTGAAGTGAAGCCTGGACTGTTCCAATCTCATCCTGGCAAACACAAAAGCTCCACAGCGATCTAGATCATGCACAACAGAATGCATATCTGGAGGTGGGGCACCAAAGCTCATCATTAAGGTCAGAAGAGATTAAGCCAGTACTAGTTGTGGCACCAAGACGTCCTTCCAACACCCTCTGGGCACAGGCACAAAGAGAATTGAAGTTCCTTGAGTTGCCCCTTTTCATTTTGTAAAAGCTTCTGATGCTACCTACCTTGGGCTGTGCTCGGCGGGGGAACGCTACTTTTGGGTCGATCTGAAAGAGAGATAGGGGAGAGAGAAGGTGAACACACTTCAATTGCCTACATTTCATTTATTACTATAAGCACCCCACAAACTTTTCCCAGCTTATTGCTTGCCAGAAAGCCCAGAAAGACGCCTAATGAGCATAAAGTAGAAGAGAAAGATGTCTGCAGTCTAATAGGGGAGTGATCCCTGGAGACTACAGTTCCCAGCATGCAATGTTCTATACACATGCGAGCAGCAGCAGTTCAGGGCAAGATGGAACACCACAGGCTGGATTAGCTGTCTGTTAACCAGTCCTCTGTGTTAACACTGCACCTTGGCCACCCTGCACTAGCAACATCATATTAGAGTGTTCCTTATCTTCCCCTTCACTCTGTCTAAGTGTAATGCATGGCTGTACTATTCTTAAAACCACCGCAACTCACCTAGTTAGTAGGGGAGCAGGAAATGGTCAGCACATAAAAAGCCAAGAACTTGATCTCTAATAGCATGGATAATCTCCCTCCCAATTCATATGAGAAGGGAAGATGTGAATTAAACAGAAGAGTCTCAAGTTCAGAAAGTTGCAATACCAACTGATACAGATTTCTGCCATCAAATCACACACTAAACTACTGCTCCTTCTGCAGGTTATATGCTGTATAATAAACACAATCAGTTCCAATCATTCTACTGTGCTAGATATGCCTGTTTGGTTTATTAATAACCCTGCTGCCCACTAGAGTACCTGTATCTCAGCACCAATATCCAGGTGGCACGCATTCTGCTGGCCTCAGCAGTGGATGAATGCATGGCTGTACTATTCTTAAAACCACCGCAACACAAACAAGGAAAAGACTAATGCACTGACAACCAAATACCCACAAAGTCACCCCTTCTTCTGAGCCATGACCTCATTATTTACACACATCCCCAGCAACTCCTGTAATGTCACATTTACATTAGAAATGATCCACATCTACAAATCCTCATCGAGAGACCTGTGCTAAAGGAAGGTCTGGTTCAATGCACAGTTGGAAAGACTGCAGCTGGCCGAGGAGCTGAGAAGATTGTCCCATTAACCCAGCAACTCAAACAGCCCACAAGGAAACTACATCTCTCTAGCTCCTCTTCATGCTATTTGTTCTACTTTCCAGGCTGGTTTTTCCCCCTTCCTTCATCCTTTCACCTGTCATATAGAGCCCAAAGCTCAGTACCTCTTCAAATCACTCCCCTTTGCCTTTCCATCACCACCGTGATTCACAAACTAGAAAAATAAACTCAGCATGTAAGTAAACAGAGGCAAAAGTGAAGAACATAAACCTCCTCTTATGAATGTTAAACACACAGAGCAACATTCCCTCTCGGTGCCTCATAGGGACATCTGAGCACCTTTCCTTTCTCCTCCCCCTGCCTCCCACTCCAATCCACTGGCTTCCTGGCTAGTACAGAAATCCTCAGTGAATTCTGAGGACAGAGGCCGGCAGGAGACCAAGAGGCTGATGGCAGATAATAAGCAAAAACAATAATCTACTGTCTTTTAGTTCTCAGCCAGTGTCATTCAGCTCCTGCCAAGAAGATCCTTTCATACACAGCAAAGTTAAGCCCAGGCCTCATTTTCTCATTACTCTGAGTGTGATAAACTGGGCAGAGATAACATATCCACCTGGCTGGGGGGGACGGGACAGGGAGTAATTTCACAAATTCTTCTGTACAACTAGCTATTATTGTTGGCAAACCAAGGCCTGACCAACTACAGTTAGCTCAGAGGGAAGAGAGTCCAATACAAAACTCAAGGTGCTAGAAAGGGGGTAATTCCTCAAATGCAGGAATTTTCATAACAGAAGTGGTGATAGCCTCTTCCAATTAGGGATGTACGCCTAATAGCCAAGTAGTCAACTACTTGCATTCCCGCCCCCTGCACTGTCTGTGTATCAGAGGCAGCAAGAGGGATGGGGAAAGCAAGAGCCGGTGCTATTAGAGACCACAGCACAGATGGAGGGACAGAGCAGGCTGCTGCAAAGTTGTTGGGGCTGATGGTTGGGACTGGCCGCAAATAGAGGCTTCGCTGGCAGCAGGCCCTGTCCTTGGAGGATGCGGTGCCTGCTGGACCCAGTGCAAGCCAGGACTGAGCAAGCATGGCTCTTACTACATTTAAACTGCAGAGCCACAGCAGGGGGAAAACTCCCGGAGGTGGAGGCTTGCTCCCTTCTCAACTAATTGTGTAGTCAATAGAATTTCTATCTGCTACACAATTAGCCATTTATTCACTTCGTAACATCCCTACTTCCTATATCCCTGGTATTAAAGCCAAAAGTCTGGTAGAGTTTTACTTCAGTATCACTTATGGATGTGATAAAGATTTGTACACAAGGTCTTAATTGTTTTAAGACATTGTCTGAGGAACTCTAACGCCAGTATCAGATAACGGTTAGGGGTGTTATCTAAAGGCCTGTCACTTTAATTTCAAGCTACCAAGTGTTAGGGACAAATTGTGCCTCTGGTTAAATCCATGGGCCCTTCATGATCACTCTCAAAGTCCAAGAATATTGTTTAATTCCCATGTAAGCTCATGCAACTCCGTTTAACTTGCTGACATCATTATCCATGTTCTCTGTAGCCAATAGCTGGGCTCTGAAGTGATTCAAAAAAGCGCAATTCTTATACCTCTAATGCCAGCTTTGTTAAGTTAGTTTCTAGTGTATGTAAAATGCCAACAGCATCCTCCTCACTCACTCACAAATAAAACTGGAAAAAAAAAAACAACCAACCAACAAAACTTCAAACACATTACTGTTTGCAGGGCATGCAGAGAAACTGAAGGCAGCGGCCGGCTGCAGCTTCACAAAGGCACGCAAATCTTTTACCTTGAGACAGCAAAGCCAACTCTCATATCAAACATTTCCATAAATAACCCCTCTAGGCTGCTATCTAGCTTACAAACAAAGAGACATCTGAAAGGCACAAGGTTCCCTCCAGAGAATCAGGCCAACAACATTAATTACAATAGGAAGAACTGGAAAACAATGAAGCAACAAGTTGTGCAGACATTGTATACCAAGTGCTGTTTACCAGGACTCCAAAGAAAGAGAATGAGCTGTAATTTCAGGACATTGAGCTTTTTCCCCACAAAGTTTTATAAAAGATTCAGATGAATGTTGTCATTTAGCCCACAACTAATAGCAGAGATTTTCAGCTAAAGAGTAAAAATAAAATAATAATAATAATAATAATAAAAGAACACATCTAAGACTCCACACAGGACAACAAAATCAGCATGTTTCTGGGGAACTGAGAGTCACTGAACTCCAAATCAGACTGAGATCCTAATCAAGCAATTACCAGGCAATATACCCCAAAATATTCAGCCAAGATTTAAACTTTAGGAAAAAAAAGAAAAGTTCCTAATAAAGAAAGGACTCCAGAGAACCTGCCACCATTCTTTCTGCTTCCTCAACATACAATCTTCAATCCAGAAGCAATACAGAATTTCAATGGCTGGCCAGTCCCACATGTTTTACACACCATGAATCCCTTCTCTTCTCCTTTGGCACCCTCACACATTCCCCCTCCACTCCCCTTACTGGACGCACACAGTACATTGCAGAATTGCTTTATGACGAGGATAGGCATTGGTTTAGACTGGTAAAAATGGAGACCATAGGTTGCATCTCACCTCTATCCCAGAAATGCTCCTGGGACTGCCGCCACCCATTGACATCCATCACTCAGCTTTTCAAGAGAGAGCTGGACCAGTCTCTAACAGTCATCAGAGCCCAGGTTTACAGAGTATGAAATAAAACAAGCCTGCTCCCACCCCAAAACATTGCATCATAATCCTCCCCCAAAGCAAAACTAACTTTGCACCACTCTCATGAGAGCATGAGGTTTTTAAGATTCCTGGCAATCTACACACTGCAAAGAAGGCTGGAATAGGTTTAACCAGAAGCTCCCATGAGGAGGAAGGTCCTGTATACATCAAAGGGAACAATCCATGCTGTTAAACAGGAACAGACATAAATCTCACAGCAGCTCATGCTGTAAGCCTCAAGAAAGGGGTCTCCCTCTCCTGCTCTCTCTGTTCAATTCAGATATAGAATTTGAAGCCTGAACTGCCTCACTAGACTTCAAGTTACATGTGGACTTTTCATTAGTTTGGAACTGCCAAGGATTTACAATGCAGGAACTGACAGTCTATGTTGAGAGACCTAATGAGCCTACAAAGAACTGTTTACAAGTTCATCAAGTGACTAGAACAGCAAGTAACTGCAAGAACTGATGCACAACCCTGGGGAATGGAAGCACCCTTGATATCTCAAAGAGCAGAAGATAGCCCAAAAATGCATCTTCTGAGCACACTAGCACAATACATTTCAGGAATTCATTTTCATTGCAAACTCATATCTGGAGAAGCCACAAGAGTGCATGAGGCACTGGAGGTGGGGGTGGGGGGACATGGGTCAATAGCAGGGATTCTCAAACTGGGGGTCATGACCCTTCAGGGAGGTTGAAAGAGAGTCACCAGCTGTCAGCCTCCAACCACAAAACCCTGCTTCATCTCCAGCATATAACAGTATTAAATATAAAAAATGTGTTTTTAGTTTATAAAAGGGGCCACACTCTCATGCTTGCTGTGTGAAAGGGGTCACTAATGCAAAAGTTTGACAACAACTGGTCTATAGCATCAGTAGAGAGGACAGGCCTAGCTCTCTGTAAGGGGTAAGTGCCCATTATGAATGGGGTACATTTATGGCAAAATAGCAGGTTACTGGTGCATGCATCAGACAAGAAAAGCCTACCAAAGGTTCTGGGGTGCTGTCTTCCCATAAGGGACGAAAAGAGGGCACCAGCTGAGACACTGAGGCTCTGCAGGGTCTCTCCACTTAGGGACAGCTGCCTCCATAGACACTGTTAGATTCACATGGGCACATTTTTTCTGGTGCCATCCTGAACGTAGTCAGTCTTCTCAACTCTCTAAGTGCCACAATCAGTTTCCCAAACGGGGTCTTGCAATCAATAGGCAGAATGGAAAATTATATCATGGATTTCCTAATCAATACACCAACATTCACAAAGCAATCCATTCTTGGTAATCCAGAGCTCAGAAGAGCATCCAGTTAACAAACCATTACTGGAATGCAGAAGGGAGGGGTAAATTCTTTATCAATAATCAATAGTTTATAAGCCCTCCTTGGGAATCAAACCACAATCAATTAGTGTGCTAAGGACTGAGGCTCAATGGACAAATGAATTCCTTGAGATGGGAGAAGAAACCTCACCGTCTTGGAGTCCAGTTCATGTCTGGATTGGGCCAGCACCTTGTCCACACCGGCCTGGTCCATGAATGTGACGAACCCGAACCCCCTGCATCCCGAATCCCAAGCGGAAGATGGCGGGGGAGGGAGGGGGAGGGAAAGAAGAGGGGAAAGTTGGTTAAAGTCAGGCCTGGCTCTGGCTAGGACCAAAGGACAAGCAGGGCCTGTCTTCTCACCTGGATCTCTTTGTCAGCGGATCCCGCATCACCAGACACTCCTTCACCTCCCCGAACTGGCTGAAGTATTCCCGCAAGCCCTCTGCAAGCAGAACACAAGGCCATGGACCCCTGCCCAGCGCCAGCCCCGGGGCACCCTGCCCACCTCGCAGCCCAGCCCGCGGAGAAAGCGCCCGAGGCCAGGAGCAGACCCCTGGTGGCGAAAAGAGACGCGCCCACATCCACACGCGGGGCTCCCCTCGCCCTCTCCGGGAGAGGCATGGAGGGAGCCCGGCAGAGCGGGGCCCCCGGGCAGTAGCAGCCCAGCCCGGGGAGTTGGAAAAGTTTGGGAGGCAGGTGGCTGGGCCGGGCTGCCCGGCGGGCCTCACCTTGCGTGGTTTGCCAGCTCAGTCCCCCGATGAACATTTTGCTGCGAGAGACACAAAAAAGCGCCGTGAACGGGCCGGGCCGGAGGCAGCGCGGCAGGGG